AAGCCTTCTACATTCTGGGACACTACAGCCCAACGCCCTGCCGATGGGGTGACAGACGGGTCTATATTCAACCTCGACTTCATACGGAAGTTCCGGTGTCAACGTTGTCTCTGCCACGACCACAGTACTGGCTCTTGCAAACAATCTAAGATGGCCTTCGAATCTCTACGTTGTGCTCGATGCGGGACTCATCATGATCCCGTACGGTTCCCAGAAGCTCACTGCCGAGACAGCAATTGCTACCGCTGTGGGAAGCGAGGTCATATGAGTCGTGCTTGTCCCGAACCACTACCTCAGAAACCCGATACCACCCCTTCAAGCTCTACTGGTACCGAAGGGGCCAAGATTCAGGCTAATGTAGTCCAGATCACTGACTCCGATGGGTCTGGATTACCCATGATAAAATTAGCCATCTCATCACCTGACTACGACTCGCCCAAGCCCGAAGGTCGTGTAGCTACTAACGCTCTACTGGATTCTGGTGCTGAACAACCGCTATGTGCCGAAGATGAGTATAATCGATGGTGTGATGCTGGTCTCGTCCTCCCACTAGTCCCTGATCCACGGACCATCATCTTCGGTAACCCCTCACACCAATCATCGACTCTCGGTAGAGCTAGTGTGATCCTACATCTCGACGACCGAACTTCTATCGTGGCCGATATACTAGTGGTCAGGTCGCTCAACTACCCCTTCATCGTGCCAACTAGTCTATTACGACGTACAGGTGGTGCGGTATGGATGATCTACCCTAATGATGCTCAGCAAGATAGAATCATAGTTGGTCAGGAATGTCAACAGCTACTGGCTACTCCTCTTGACCCCAGGTCCGATATGGAGGCAACTGCCCCTTCTCCTTATGTGAAATGCCATCAAGTGACTGCGAAGAACATCAACGATATGAGCCTCAACGATGTGTCTATCAACCATCAACGAGTGAAGAACAGCCCCAAGGCCGTGGACCTCCCTGTCACTCTGGTTGACGACCGTGATGCCCCCGATGGAAGATGTTGTATCAAGATCCCTTGGAAAGATCCTAT